TGGCATGACCGGAGCGGGGCCGTGGCGGGGCCGGAGCGGGGCCGTGGCGGGGCCGGAGCGGAGCGCCCCCTGGCGGCCTCGCCGCCGCCCGCGGGACCAGAGGAACTTTGCGCGCAGCTCGGCGCAAAATGCGCGCTCAGAGCCGGCTCGCTCCCCTCCGCAATGCCCAGTCGGCAGCAGAAATGGCCAAATAAAACAATATCGAGGTTTTTTTGTATTTGCAGGACACTAAACCATAAAGCACCATCTCCTTTCCAAACGTCATCAGGCCTTTGGGCACCTAATTGCACCCACAAATACTTCATGAGCACCAGTAACTCCAGAGCACGTGCACTCAGTGTAGCTATTACAGTCTTAATTAAAACAGTGAGCAGATGGGATGTTTGCAGATAAATAAAATCATAACATTCCTAACACAGAGTTCAGAACACCGACAAAGAGCTGTTTGACTTTCAATCACTTCTTTACATGACAACAAAGTTTTACTAATAAATTATCACCTCTCTTTCCTGCTTGTGCTGGAGTTTAAGGCCATGTTCAGCTGCGAGGGTATTTTAAGCAAAGGCGAAATATGCTTAGAATCTGGGTTTTGGACAAACGCTTTATCAGGTAGAAATTTCAGCACAAAGCATTCTCTTGCAAATATGCATGAAATTCCTCTGAAAAGTCTAGTTGGAAAATCTTTATAAACAATATTTTGACGGCACAATGCTTTTGATACACTTAGGTTTCCTTCGTTCCTGCAAGATTCCTATATTTTCCAATGAAAACATTCCTCTCTAACCAGTCATCTCCGACTAAGTTCATTACACGAAGAAAAAATATTCAGCAAAACAAATATAACCTCAATTCGCCTTGCAAGAGAAAAGGCTCGGTAAGGAACAGCCTCTCCGGTACGAGCGCGGATCTTACCTCTTCAACTGTCAGAGGCATACAGATCCGGTACTCCTTCATGAGCATATTCCTGCTGCTCAGTGCGGACCGGCGAACTGGGAGAAAAGTGGTGATTTCTGCACAGAGATCACGACGGAAACCAAACAAGGGGGGAAATAACCAAGCCTCTTTCTCTGTGCGCGTTTGACAATGTGTCCACAAGACAGTAATGCAACCATCCAGGAAGGCTGACCCAGCAAGAAGAGAAACCACCACAACCGCTTCTTTCTCCCAGTTCTTCCTCCTTCACACTGCGATCATGGGAATCTCACAGACGCTCGCACCGAGATACGCTACAAAGTCTCAAACCCCCACCGCTCTCGCCCCAGCCGAAGACATCCGTCGGAAGTGCATGGAAACGCCAGGCTCTCTCGCGGCTGTGTCAAGACATGCCTGGGGCGGCGAAAAGAACAAACGAGCCGAAAATGTGGCTTTCGCCCCCGCCGGCAGCACGTCGGGCGGCAGGAGAGATGCGATGCTGATTCCCAAGACAAAGGCTTTTTATAACGTTGCCTTCCCCGGCTGCCAAACGCGGCTCCCACCTCCCCGCCGCAACGCGGCTGCGGCCGCCGCGGCTCCCGCTGGGCTCGGGGGAGGGTACGGGGGGGCAGCGCGGCGCTCGGGCGGGCGGCCGCGGGTTCCCCGGCGCAGCCGCGGCCGGGGGTGCTCACGGGCGGGCGGGCGGGCGGACTCCGCGGGCGCGAAGCGGCTGCAGCGGCGGCGGCCCCGGCGGGGCTCGGCTGACATCAGCGGGGCGGCAGGAAGGAGGGAGGGGGCCGGCCGGCGGGGGGGGGCAGCGGCCGCCGCCGCTCGGGCGGGTTCAGCGGGGCCGGGCCGCGGGGCTCCGGGCAGCGCCCGCCCGCGCCTCCCGGCAAGGGGGACACCGGCAGCGCTGAGCTCCAAGAATTCGCGATTTCACTTTATTCTGCCCTGAAGACTTCTCGGGTTTTGGAAGTTTATTGCCCTACGTGTGACAAGGCACCTTGCGAAGCATTTACACCCCGGCACGGGAGCAGCGAGCCCGTGAACCTCGGGCTCGCACCCGCCTCCTTGGTACAAAAGGAAAGGAAAGGACAGCGTGCGCTCGGTGCGGACACACACAGGATGTGGAGGCCTCACCCATTTCCCTTCTGCTCAGCCCTCCGCTATCAGCCAGCACACTTTGTAGCACAAATAAACCCCTTTTTTCATATCGGCTTTTTTACTTTCAAATGACACGCAGAAAGTTCAGTGAAAAAACGCCTCCTTCCTAGCTGAACTCTAAAGCCAGAGCCGTTTTAGGAGGTCTCCCCCTCTCCTTTAGTGAGGAGTTTGTTAATGCATTAGTTTTTTAATGTGCTTGGGGTTGTGTTTTTCAGAGAAATTTACCCATCATTAAGTCACAACTTGAAATTCACAGGAACCGAATTCTGAAACTACCTGGGAACCCTGAACTGTTACACAACCTCAGCATTTCATGTTTAAAATGCTCATCCTGCTGCTTCTCCTGTGCTCCCAGTGGCTATAAAGCCACTCACTGGATTGCAGAGAAGCACTGTAAGAGCAAAACAGAAGGCACTGAACAGATCATGGTAAAATATACATCTGCACTTACATACCAGTTATTTGCAAAAAAAAATAAAAGTGATGAAATACCGTATTTGGGACAGTTAAAGAGGAATTTAGGTCTACAATGAAATGTGTGTTTCATAACAAGAAAGAGCAAAAGCCCCTCAGAATTTCATTGGTTCTGGATGTACATTTCAGAGCTGTGGGTATAATTCTCAGCCCAGAGGACACAGTGCCATCTCCTGGAGCCAACGATGTCTGTTTGCCAGGCCCTTGCAATAATGGCACAATATTTCACATCCCTGCCTTCCCAGGGAAGAGCAAACACCTACACAAAGAAATAAAAAATCTGAGAGCTCTATTAACAGTCTGGATTTTCAACTGAGGTATGAACAATATGTTTAATGAGAATTCGGTCTCAAATCTGACACAGCCATTTATAAATAGGGAAACTGTGGCTGTAATTCATAATGTTGGTACTGCATGTTCCTGGAATTCCAAGCAAAATAGCAAAACCAAGGCATTACCTTGTGATATGTCACTGCAGAAAGGACACTGAGCTGCTGGAGCGTGCCCAGAGAAGGGAATGGAGCTGGGGAAGTCTGGAGCACCAGGGGTGGCTGAGGGAGCTGGTGCTGGAGCCTAGAGAAAAAGAGGCTCCAGGGGGAATCTTTTGACCCTCCCCAAATCCCTGACAGGAAGGGACAGCCAGGGCGAGAGGAACAAGTGATGAGAGGAAATGGCCTCAAGCAATGCCAGGGGAGGTATAGATTGGATATCACAAGAAATTTCTTCACAGGTTTCTGAAGCATTGGAATATCCTGTCTAGGGAGGTGGTGGAGTCACCATCCCCAGAAGTGCTCAGAAAATGTTTGGATGTGGCACCTGGGGGCAGGCTTTAGTGGTGAACATAGCAATGGTGCTGGGCTGACAGTTGGACTTAATGAGCTTAAGGGTCTTTTCAACCACGATGATTCTGTGATTCTGTGGTATTACCTACACATTAGAGACAATCCAAATTCAGATCTAAAACATCCTTCAGTTTTAAGTGATTTTTCTAGCGTTTTCTTCCACTGGGAGCAAAATCTCTGGTTTCTGCTGAAACACATTGTAAAAGAACCTGAACTTCTTGGCATAGGGTCTTGAATGTCAATAAAACCGGGAGAAAGACAGACTAGTTTCTCACCTATCACATGACTTCAACATAAAGCAAACCTTGCAACTCTGTGTACATTAGCAAAGCAGATCTACAGAAAGCAGTGTGTCAAATACAGAACCCGATTAGAATGGAAACCATGACTAATTCCCATACCTGCAGCAAAACATTCTCCAGTCACCCCAAACCTCAGGTCTGTCTTGTGCTGATTGCACATGGGGAAAGCAGTGGCCCCAAGGATATCCCCTACAACTTCCCACTGGGAGTGCCCAGACTCTTTCCAAAGCACACTCCCCAAATGCTTCCCAGGGGATCTATGAGACAGAAAACTTCCAGTTCCCATGAGCCAGGCAGTGCCTGCCAACATTCCTGCCTCAGTTTTGGGTTTTGATTTCCATGAATTGGCAGAAATTTTTACTCTTACCTCTGCAACATGCTCTCAATGCTCTGTTGTGAAAATGAGACATTTTCATTTTTGGCCTGGGGGGGAAAAGCCCATATGTTTGTGCTGAGTATGAGCTCCAGATGGACTTGTGTCAGCTAAGTGTCACTTCAGAGTAAGAGGCAGTAAGAGCCAAGTTGTTTCTTTGGGTGTTTCACTAAGGACTTTTGAATAAGAATTTAGTTTCTTTTTTAGCCACTTAGGGATTCTATACTGAAGGCAACAGCTGTCTTCTCATTTCCCAGTGTACCCATGCAGGTAAAGGAAAACAACAATTGCAGAAGGCATTTATTTTCTTCCTCTTTCACTCACATGTCTGAACCAAATTCCTGTGTATAGGACTATGTTCAATTAGATTAGCATGCGACTTTTGACCTCCTAGGAAGCCATCACTACGAATCCATCACCTGCAAAAATATACTAATATTACCATGAACTAAAAGAATGAGATTGTAAAAATAAAAGCTCTGTAAAAATTTGTAAATGGCCAGAGTTAGGGAAGAACATCTGATACACTATGTGTGATATATGAATGTATTTTTAGTACTTAAGTCAACTGAAATTAAGTAAAAATGATTAAGGGTAATGGATAAATTCTGTCAGCAGACTTTTCAAATCAAGTTTGTGTTCAAACAGAAAGTGATTCAAAGCCCGTGGTATGTGCTGTGCTAATTGGAAGGCATCAGACACAGTTGCAAAATACAGTATTGGGGCTCTGAATTCATGTAGCTGAATTACTCTGAATTTACACCAGTGCAGCAGATGTAGGATCTCAGTCTTAATTCTGTAAACAAAAGATTTAAACCAGTTATCTCAAATACCTCTTGGTCATGTTAACATGTTGGTCTGTGTACAGTATGGTCTGAAAGTAACACAACACAAAATGTAATTTCATACTAACTTTTTCTTTCTAGAAATGCTAAATAACATCTAAAGATACCCACGGCAGGTGGTTAGAACTAACTAGGTGTTTGTAAAGTCCCTTCCAACCTAAACCATCCTGTGATTCTGATTCAGGGTGTTTGCTGAGTATTTGAAGTATTTGCTTGCACACACGAGGGAGTTTTTCTGAATTTCCTGTGAATGAAACTTCTGCAGTATATGAAATTGTGTTGGGAGATGATGGCAACCAGCACGCAAAGTGTTGCACCAACATCTCACAACTTATCAAACACATTGATGGCAACACTGTCTAGATCAGGATTCTCGTGTTCCTAAAAACCATGGTGTGTCCTACATTCCCTCACCGCTCCAGCAAGGCTAGGTGATTAAAAGACTCAAGGCTGGAATGAGATACAGTGAAATTTCCAAGGTGAAATCAGCAGCAGCTGCAGAACCCAGTGCTCCACTGCGGCCACACCTGACGTGTCCATATGGCCAGGTTGTCCCCAAATGTGGGAGAACACCACAAACGCACCGTTCTCCTGCCTCACCACCCCCCAGCTCCGACTAACACCGGGGCTGTGGCGACAGGGACACATTGGGGGGCGAAATTGAACTCCGGGAGATGTCACTGGGGGATGTCACTGGGGGATGTCACCGCCACATCTGGCACCAACTCACAGCTGCCCTTCCTGAGTGCTAGGGAGTCCCCCGGCCAGACTGGGGCTCAGAGGTGCGGATTGAAGGGCAGATCCATTCAGAGGGGCAGATCGCGGTGCGGGTCCCCTGAGAGGGGCGGATTGAGGGGGGGAATCCCTCAGAGGGGCGGATTGAGGGGCAGACACCCTCAGAAGGGCGGATCGCGGTCGCGGTCCCCTCAGAGGGGCCGTGGGCTGGGCGGGTCACCTCAGAGGAGCGGGTTGAGGGGCAGATCCCCTCATAGGGGAGGATTCAGGCGCGCACCCCCTCAGAACCGAGGACCGCGGTCCCGGTCCCCTCAGAGGGGCCGTGGGCGGGGCAAATCCCCTCAGAGGTGGCACCTCCCCGCTGCGGGTCCTGAGGCAGCCAGGGGTGGCGTTGGCAGTGCCTGCTTGCCGCGGCGCGGGGCCCTTCGGCCGGGCTGCCCCCGGCGCGCCTGCGCGCGGGCCCGGCCGGTTCCGGTGAGCGCTGAGGCGGCGGAGCGGGCGGACATGGCGGACGGCGGCGCGGAGCGGGCCGATGGCCGCATCGTCAAAATGGAGGTGGATTACAGCGCGACCGTGGACCAGAGGCTGCCCGAGTGCGAGCGGCTGGCGCAGGTGAGGCGGGAGAGAAGCCTGGCGAGGCGGACGGGCTGAGTCATGGCGCGCTAGGCCGCGCGTGGAGGCGGCGCGGAGCGACCCGCGGCCGCATCCTGTCCCACGATGCGGTGTTGAGGGGTCCGGTCGCGGGCTCTCCGTGCCGTGCTAGGGAAGGGAAGGAGTGGACGGCTCCCCCGTTTCAGGGCTATGTGGAAGGGTGG